TCTGCCTTGTTTTTAAAAACAGTGCTTGCAAAGGTACCCTAGAGAAAGCGATCTAGCTACATATTATTTTGATGTTCTACAGTTAAGCCAAGAGCCAAATGAAAGCTCCACATCTCCAGGGAAGGAGTCATTAAAGTGATTGAATGGATGGTAATTATTTTAGCTAGCAATGGGGAAAAAGGCCCAGCATACTGGTAAAGTGGCCTGTTTGCTTCTACTAACTGATGGGTCAATCTTATTATTTTTTCCATTTAACGCCAGAATGCTGCTGGGACTAATGGCCTTTCAAGAGAAGGCAAAAGCTTTTCTATTTATTTACTTTATTCTTTGGCTTTTGCAGGTTTCCATTTTAATATCCCTTAATTACTCTACAGAATTTGAGTATAGGGGTTAAAAGTATAGGCTTTGGAGTCAGACAAAACCAGACTTGAATCCCAGCTCTGCAACTTACTGGCTACATGGGCCAGGCCACTTACTAAACCACTCCAAGATTTAATTTCCTTATCTATAAAATAGCACACTAATTCTTGCCTGAAGGGTTATTGTGATGATTCAATGAGATGATGCATCTAAAGCACTTAGCCCAGAGCCTGCTGCATAATGAGTGCTCAGTAAATTGTAGCCTTTATTGCCTAAACATTGTAAAAATTCTAAACACACACACACGCGTGCACATACACACATACACACAATTATGAATTTACCTTGAGGATAGTCAATGGTAATAATAAAAGGTTCAAAATCAGCCCTGGCAAAGAAATGAGGCTGGGGAGAGGGATAAGGTAATTGCCCAAAGTTAGTTAGAAAGTGCTGGAAATGTACCTCTAGCCTTTGTCTACCTAAAGCCAAAGACCCTACACCTAGTCACTAGAAAACTAAGCCTCCTCCTGTCAACTTTGTTCTGGAGGAGCAATCTACTCTTCCCTCCTGCCTTAGGTCTCTCTCAGAGCCCTGGTGTCAGGGAATGCCCTATGCCCCCTTGGAAGTCCATCTCTGAGCCCACTACTCTAACTGAGGCTGACTCCCAGAATGAGCTATTTGCCTAAGGTCACACAGTTGGTTGACAAAGGACAGCTGGAGAAAGAGTGGTGGTAAATCTGCTATTCCTTAGCCTCCAACTTGTGCTTCTGGAACATAGAGTTAGTATTTCATGCATTCAGTCATTCACAGGCATGGCATTGGGGATGCAGCGATGGTCAGGGCGTCCCTCACTCACAGTCCAGTGGGGAAGACAGATAAGGAAACAGTCAACTGGAATAAACGCACTGTGACCAGTGCTATGATTTGGTGTCCCAGGCAGCCGTGAGAGCTCAGAGGAAGGCTGCTATTCCAGCCTTGGGAAGGTCCAAAAAGGATCTGTCAAGTTCATTTTTTTTCTTTCTTGGCCAAGAGTAATAGCAATTGGCCAGTGACATAATACTATTTTAATTCATTTATTTTTTGAAAAATAATTTACTGAACTAGGTTACTGTGCTAGGCATAATAAAATACAGAGATGGCTCAAATATGGGCATTGCCTTTCTAAAAACTGGCTCTTTCCTTTGGGAAGTGGGTGGCAATGATGCTCTTCAGTTAATTCCTAATTAGCAACTCCATCAGTTTCAGGTAATAGGTAACCAAGGCTGAAGAATTAATTCATTCATTGGATTTCTGCCTGGTTAAAACATCCATTGATTATTTGTTATTTTTGTATCACAAAGTCTGTGGGCTCACGAGCAGGAAAGCATACTTGAATTTCTGAATCCTCCTGCACGGTTGTATGTTATGGGGTTAGTTAATGGAGTATTGAAGATTGAACATCCTTCAGCTTTTGAGGATGAAATCAAAGTCAATGTCAGTGATATGAACAGACATGTTAATACTGAAGTTTGCTCTATCTACCAGGGTGCAGAGCACTTAAGTAGGACATACTAAATTGCTTTGCTGGAGAATTGAGACTTTCCTAGCTGTGCATCTGGGGAAATAATGGGGAAATGTTCGAACGGTGCACTTATTATTCGCCCCAGAATGTCCCACCATGGTAACTCTTAGGTATAATTTCCTACACTCTTTCAGTGGTTTGGTAGGCAAAGCTGCTTCATTCTGTGTTCTCTGTTTACTTGTTCGCTTGTTCATCTTTTGCTATTTCTGTCCAGGGACCTCCTGAAAGTTCCATCCTGGAGCTTCCAACCCTGAATTTCCTCCTCAGTCTTTGAGTCTATAATTGGAAGCTGGGCTTTTGAACGTTAAAGATCAGAAAATAGTCATGATTCTGATTTTCCAATGAAATACAACAATGCTCCCTGCTAGGTCTTAGTGGATCATTTGGAAAAAAAAAATCCAACAACAATTAGCTCAAAATGTAACTGTGATTCTGAATTTCCACTCTGGGTGGAGTTTGACCATCCTGCTTGGTAGGTTGTCTAGAAACTGTGCTTAGAGGAACTGCTCCATGTCTTCTGGGAATTTAGTCCTTTGCTAATGAATTTAATAGGCTATAGGGGCCAGGTGTGGTGGCTCACACCTGTAATCCTAGCACTCCGGGAGGCTGAGGTGGGAGGATTGTTAGAGCTCAGGAGTTTGAGACCAGCCTGAGCAAGAGTGAGACCCTGTCTCTACTAAAAATAGAAAGAAAATTAGCTGGACAACTAAAAATATATTGAAAAAAATTAGCCGGTCATGGTGGTGCATGCCTGTAGTCCCAGCTACTCTGGAGGCTGAGGCAGGAGGATTGCTTGAGCCTGGGAGTTTGAGGTTTCTGTGAGCTATGCTGATGCCACAGCACTCTAGCCCGGGCAACAGAGTGAGACTCTGTCTCAAAAAAAAAAAAAAAATAGGCTATAGGGATTCGTTCCTCTACCTAGGGAAAACTCTACACAGCTTATCTACTTTGGAAGGCTTTAATGAACGCCTTGCCCAGAATGAGTGCACTAAACCACAGCTTTCAGCTCTGGGCCAAGGGAACTATCCCAATTTGCACTTCTTCTAGTTAGCCTTGAATTTTCTCTGTTATTCTCTTGACAAGTTGAAGAATATCCTTTCTAACAGGAGGACTTCAGTAATTCAGTCCCCACTGACTGAGGTTGCCTATCTGTTTTGGCTCTCTGTAGCTGAGTAGAGTGGAAAGAATGTTGACTTTGGAGTCAGTCCAACCAGGGGTAAAGTTGAGACTCCACTACTTCCCAGCTTCATGACTTGACACAAGTGACTTAACCCCTCTGGGCCTCTATTCTCTCATCAGCAAAATCAAAATGATATAGTATCTCCCTGATAAGGTATTGTGAAGGCTAATGAGATAATGCATGTAAAGTGACATAGGGAGACCAACTGTCCTGGTTTACCTGAAAATGAGGGGTTTCCTGAACACGGGACTTTTAGTGCTAAAATTAGGGCTGTCCCAGGCAAACAAGAACGGTTGGTCACCCTAGATGAATATGAGTCAGCTGTTACCCTTCCTAGCTGTTATCACTATGATAGCCACCATTTTCGGGCCAGGAGACCCTCCCTCTGCACGGACATCTGATCTATATCCCAGATCCAGGCAATCTGCTCCACTTACATTAAAGTCAGGGATTCAGAGTTTTGAATTGTCAAGTGCTGTATGTGTTTCAACTGTTACTATTACTCTTATCACATAGTCTTACATTCTATTAATAATAACGGCAGCTTCAGTGGTAGGATATGCAAAGCCATTAAAAGAGATTCAACGTTTATTGAGTACCTATTTTGTGAAAGATACTATGTTAAGCATCAGAGGAAAAATACGTACTGGGGAAAACAAAATAATAACTTCTCTCTTTTGGTAAACTTTTTAATGACGTTTAAAAGGGCACAACTCTTAAGTGGGCAGCTCAACGAATTGTCAGAAAGTGAAAACACGTGTGTAGTAAGCACCCAGCTTGGGACATAGAACATTACCGGCACCCCTGAGGGCCCCCTCCCCGAGGTCCCTTTCAGCCACTACCCACTCTCTCCAAGGGAAACGTCAACTTTTATTTTTATCTTTATTATGTCCTTTCCTGTACCCTCTTTTTGTTTGCCTTGTTCTGTCACCCTGGCTGGAGTGCAGTGGTGTCATTATAGCTCACTGCAACCTCAAACTGCTGGGCTCAAGCAATCCTCCCCCCTCAGCCTCCTGAGTCCTGTACAGGTGCACACCACCATGCCCGGTTAATTTTTCTATTTTTTTGTAGAGATGAGGTCAAACTCTTGCTCAGACTGGTCTCGAGCTCCTGGCCTCAAGCAATCTTCCTGCCTCAGCCTCCCAGAGTGCTAGGATTACAGGCATGAGCCACCACGCCTGGCACATTTATTTTTATTCCTTTATTTTTATTGTTGTAGATATTTAGGGCTATGAAATTTTCTCTGGCCACTCTTTAAATGTATCCCACAGATTCTTTTTTTTTACATTTTTTTTTTGTTGTTGTTGTTGTTAAGATAGAGTCTTGCTCTGTCGCTCCAGCTAGAATGCAGTGGTGTCATCATAGTTCACAGCAACTGCAAACTCCTGGGCTCAAGGGATCCTCCTGCCTCAGCCTCCTGAGTAGCTGGGACTACAGGTGCGCACCACCAGGCCTGGCTAATTTTTCCGATTTTTTGTACAGACGAGATCTTGCTCTTGCTCAAGCTGGTCTCAAACTCCTGAGCTTAAGTGATCCTACTGCCTCAGCCTCCCAGAGTGCTAGGATTACAGGTGTGAGCCACCGTGCCCAGCCTAGATTCCTATGTATAGTGCTGTTATTAATATTACCATTATTTTTCAGGAAATCTATAATTTTTTATTTTTTCCCTTTCACTCAAAATTTGTTTAATAGAAGGTTTTTAAGATTTCCAGATGAAAGGGCCTTTTTGTTTTTATTAATATTTTAAAATTCTAGTTTTATTTCATTTAGAACCTTGACGTGTAACACCATAGATTAGTTCTGCCTGTTTGTTTTTGAGATCTATATAAATGGAATCCTTCTACATCCTTTTTTTTGGGACTTCAAAGCATTACTCTCTCTCTTTTTTTAATGATAAATTTCCCCACAAGGGAAATTTTATTGATGACTCTAGTTTATTTCCTTCCAAAAGATCAACCGCAACCAAAAGAAGTGAACATAACCTCAAGATTTTATTGTCTTCATAATAAAACAAAAGATGCTTAGAACCGGATCACTTGGCCCTTTCTCTTCTTATCTCCTCCCAATTCAAAATGCTCGCATCTCTTACTAGCCAGCATTCTCTTAGATCTGCAGTTGGGCTCCACACACTCAAGGCTCAGCACAATCTTCTTTGTAGTTTTAGCCTTTTTCCAGAAAATCAGCTTAGTCTGCCCACCGTAGCCACTCTGCTTCCTGTCATAATGCCACTTTCCCTGGGCATACAGAGAATCTTTGCCCTTCTTATACTGTGTCACTTTGTGGGGTTGATGCTTGCCACATTTTTTACAGAAAGTTCTGCGAGTTTTAGGAATGTTCATCATGTTTGCGTGAGCGCCATCGACAATGAAAGAAAAGGAGCGTTTCTCTTTTCAGAAAAGACAATATACTCTCAAGGTATCAAACTTTTCTGACCTCAAGTTGGAGATGTTTCTACCATAATTTCAATAATTCTAGAAATTACTGAGGTTAAGCCAGTTAGAGCAGACATATCACCATTGAAACCAGATTTTGGAACACATAATCCCAGCCTAAGAATTGAGAAATTTAAAAAAATGTGTGTAAATTGTCTTCCCCAATGTGCCTTTTCTGTCATCAGTAAGCTAGAAGCAAACTAACAGAAAATGAGAATGTAATGCTATTTTTTCCAGATGTTATTCTGACGTGTTTCACTTTCCAACTTCACATAGAACATATGCAGATCATTTCAAACTAAATACTCTGCCATTGCCTTCACAACATGAATGAATAATTACCAGGAAACTAGGTTTTTGTACCGTCTAGTGGTGCGTCCCAATATAGCTGACATGTAAATATTTAAGTTAACAGTTCTTTAAGAGAATCCTCGAGGGCTCAGGTCATTGTGGGTCATTTCATATGTGGATTAGAAGTGCAGAGAAATCGTCAGCTCCCTCACTCTTCACTATTACTGAGCTCTGTGGCTGCAATCTGAAGATTCTAGATCTGCATGGATTACAAGGGTTAGGACAAGCAATAAACTCACACTGTTAGAGCAAAGAAAATAACATGTCCATCACCTCTGTCTTTTTTATTTCTTGGACATTGTTTAAAAGTTCCCAGAACTCTCTGATAGGTTTCATTTTTAATTTTAAATGGTGGTTAAAAACACATAACATAAAATTTACCATCTATTTTATTTTATTTATTTTTGATTATTATAGATACGTAATAGTTGCACATATTTATGGGTTGTGTGTGATATTTTGATACAAGCATATAATGTATAATGATCAAATCAGGGTAATTGGGATATTCATCACCTCAAGAGTTCAGTTGAGGACTGAACTCTGATCTTTTTCTTTGCCCAAAAATTCCTTTCTATGGGGGCCTGGTGAGTCACGCCTACAAATGATAAAATCTCAATAAACAGGTTTTTATGATGTGGTTTACTTCCCAACCTTATTCCGGTATAGCATCACATAAAAAGTAGAAGACCCTTATCTTAACTCAAGCATTCCTTTCCGCTGATTCCCAGTCTTTTGGACAAAGCCTGACTCTGGCAGCCAATTGTCAACTAAAGAATCCCTAAATTCACATATGACTTGTAAGCCCCCGCTTTGAGATGTCCCAGCTTTTTGGGCCAAACCAATGTATGCCTTCCATGTATTGATTTATGACTTTACCTGTAATTCCTGTCTCCCCGAAATGTATAAAACCAAACTATAACCCAGCCACAGCAAGTCCACTTGCTCAAGGCTTCTTGGGTGTGACTCTGGGCCATTGTCCTCAAATTTGGCTCAGAATAAACCTACTTAAATTATTTTACAGAGTTTGTCTTCTTTTCCATTGACAATTTCTTTATATTATCTTTATATTAAGAACCTTCTGCTCTTTTAGTTATTTTGAAATATACAATAAATTATTGTTAACTATAGTCGCCCTGTTGTGCTACCGAACACTAGATCTTATCCCTTCTATCTGTGTTTTTGTACCCATTAATCATCCCCTCTTTATAACCATTTTTAAGTATAGAGTTGAGTAGTGTTAAGAATATTGTTATGTGATAGATCTCTAGAACCTTTGCATCTTGCAAAACTGAAACTGCATACCTATTAAACAGCAACTGCCATTTCTCTTTCCCCTCTCTAGTACATTGTATCAAGGGATCACTCATAGACATTCCTATATGGGTCAGTGTTTTTTATCAAAAGCAGTAATTATTGCAAAAATAAAGTGCTCTCTCCTGTCCCCTGCCCACCACTTCAGGAACAAAAGAATTATTCTGCAACAGTAATGCTCTTATCATTTTGTTAGCTAAATCTCAGACCTGGGTCTATGTTTACAACCATCATTGTTCACAAGCAGAAGTTTAGAGTCCTCAAATGAAGAATTGTATAATGTGTAAAAATTAAAAGTTAAAATTTTTTTTAAAATTGCAGGGTTATATCAAGGGAATTCAAAGCCCACCAGGGGATAGTTGCAGAGAGATCCCAGCAGGCTAATGGAGAGAACACTTCCCTTAGAAAGGGAAAAGCTGGCTTGGAATTATGGCTCTGTCAAGTTTTAAGCTGTGTGACATAGGGCGAAATCACTGAACCTCTCCCAGCCTCAGTTTCCTCATCTGCAATATGGGAATAATAACACCTATATGTCATGAAGATAAAATGTAGCAAGTTATATACTGTAACGAGCACATTGTCGGTGCTCATTAAACATTGGTTCCCTCCCCGCTTCCCATTTTGGCAATATGTACACATCTCCCTGAGCCTCAGTTTCCTCCTAGGTCAACTGCACAGGGTCACTGTGAGGTTTAAGTCGTGACAACATATGTGAAAGTAACTTCATAATAGACACTCAATAAAAGTTTTTAAAAATTTATTTCTACAGAAGTTGTAACTAATCAAGAAAGAAAATAATCACTGAATAAAGGTAATTAGTATTTCCCGAAGAAGGTTATTACCATTTTGCTGATAAGAAATGATTTTTCCTAGATCATTTAAATAATCTGTCAATCCGAAGGCAAGGGCCTCCCTAGGTAATCTCCTGAGGCTGTATCCGCCCCTGGGAGTGAATGATTCTTTCCCAGTCTTACAAAAGGAACAAGACAGGAAAAAACATTTGGTCTGGCTTATCAGAGAAGCTTCAAGAGAACAGAGCCTATTTTACTGCTTCACAATTACAACCACTCAGATATAGCCACTGCTCATTTTCTAAAACGTTTCTGTGTAAGACATAAACTAAAAGAATTTTCTCATGGAAGCAACACAGGCTTGTAAAAAATTCAAACAGTGCAGAAGGATATAATGTGAAAAGTAACATTTCCCTGATCCCACGCCGCCCCCCCCCCACACACACAGTCTCCCCAGTCACACTCCTTCCCCAAAGGAAACCACTGTTAACAGATTGTTTGGGATCATTGTAGTCATTAGCTATGCATTTCCTATGCATGTGCAAATATACACATACTGTGTACACATATTGTATGTGCGCATGCACACATAAATATATACATAAACATACATGCATGCATGCATATGCATACATGTGCCCTGTGTTTCAGAGAGCCTTTGTCACATAGAATATCATGTAATGGAATGTGAATAGTCTCCCCTGGAATTGTACAGCACTATGCAAAGGAACAAGTGTATACACACACACACACAAACAAACACACACATACTAACATTTCTCTTTTAAAAAAATATAAATGGAGTAATATTAAATAAACTATTTTATAACTTGCCTTTCTCAATTAACAATACATCTTAGATGTCTTTCCATATCAGTGTACGCAAATCATTTTTACCTGCTCCCTAATGTTCAATTGTATAGATGTATCTTAACTTATTTAGCCAATTTGTTTTTGATAGAAATTGGGGTCACTTCCAGTTTTTTGCTACTACTAACTGTAATAAATTATTATACCTATTTAAACCATATATGTATATCTTTATAAGCTTAAGGTGCATATGTATGTGTGCAGTACATAACTTTTTGTACTTAGTATACATTTTCATGAATAAATATAGATCTATAGCATCATTTTAATGGCTGTGTATTATATTATATTATATGTTATGTAATTTATATAATAAATGTCCTACTATTGGATATTTATGTTGTTCTTGATTTTTCACTATTATAAACAATGTAATCTTTGTGCATTGGCCAAACTTATTTTCTTTGGATACATCCCTAGAGGTAAAGTTGCCAGGTCAAAGGGCATGCATATTTTTAAAAGTAGCCACTTCATTTAAAGGAAAAGACTGTCAATTCTGTTGTGCAGATTCACTGAATGGAGGTCCTCAGATATGTTAGCCTTGGGGAGAAACATTTACATCACATCGATTGGTGATTTCCAAACCTGGTATGGTAGGCAGAATAACAGCCCCAATGGCTGCGTCCACATCTTAATCCCCCAAACCTGTGAGTATGTTATGTTACATGGCAGGGGGAACTAAGGGTGAAGATGGAATTAAGGTTGCTAATCAGCTGACCTTAAAACAGGGGGATTATCCTGGATTATCTGGGGTCCAATGTAATTACAAGGATCCTGAAAAATGGAAGAGGAAGGCAAAAGAAGGGAGTCCGAGGGAGATGTGATTATGGAAGAATGATCAAAGGAGATACAATGTTGCTGGCTTTGGACATGGAGCCAGGAGGCCATGAGATGAGGAATGTGGGCAGCCTCTAGAAGCTGGAGAGGGTTAAGGAAACAATTCCTCACCTAGAGCCTCCAGAAGGAATGCAGCCCTGTGGTTCACCTTGATTTTGGCTTAATGATACCCATGTAGGAGGACCACTAATCTCCAGTATTATAAGATAATAAATTTGTGTTTCTTTAAGCCACCGAGTTTGTGGTAATCTGTTATAGCAGCAGTAGGAAAGTGATACACCTGGTTGCACATGACACTAAGGGCAGGGGTGCGGGGCGACGTTCCTTACCCACAGAGATGCTGATTCGGTAGTCTAGGGAAGAGCAGAGGAGTATTTATTTTCAACAAGCTCTCCAGGTGATATGGAGGCATCCAGTGGGGATTTGAGGAAGCATTGACATAGACCGCATAGGTCAACAAAGGTAACCATCTCCTGTTACGGAGACAGTCACTTGCTGGCCTGGAGAAGGGTCTAGGTAGGGGACTGAAGAGTGGCTGGGGCTGACCTGGGGCTCCAATCTGGCACTGGCACCAACCTTAACTCTACCACCCAAGAGACAGTGTCATTCAACCTCATTAATCTGAGCCTTATCTACTTTTCCAGCTTGATTTTCAACTGCTCATCAACACAAACACTCCACTCCAGCCAGACTAGTCACCATCTATTCGACAAGTCTTGGGATTTCTTCCTCTGTATTTGCTCTTAA